AATAAATCAAAAGGAGACTGCGATCATACCAGAGGTCAAAACATCTTAATTTTCATATCTTCAATTAAACGTATTTTTGCTACACCAATCGACTACATTAATTATGTTTAGTATATAAGTAGTCTCGAGAGTACCAGTAAGTCAGTTAACGTGGTTAACGTTGGTGGTGTTGCTAATACTTAGGCGAGGTTGAAACTGCAGTCCACCCTAGGTGAGAACAAATTTTGGGAAGGCAAGGCTATGTGAAATTCATTGTGGGAAAATTCTGTTATGAGCCCTTTATAACATATCATATTACTAATCTTATCATCAAACTACAACTCGTCAAAAGACAAGTGAAGTCAATCCCATGACTAACTTTCTGCCGAACGGTTGTGTTATAAATCCTCTTTCTGTCCTGTCAAATCTGCATATTGCCTATCCTCATATCCCACTCCCGACCAAATCAACGATCCACCGCTGGGAACTGTCATAACTACAATAGCAGAGGGCTTCGGACAAGCTTCGCTCAGCAAGGTCGCCTTGGCAACACGGCCAGGTTGCAAAACAAGGTCAGACTACTTCAGCTTAAGTAATAATATGTTCAATTTCTTGTGTTCGAGTGTATTTGTATCTGTATCGAAACCGAGTTCTTATGAATACTATGACAGAGGATACAGAAGTGGATACACTTACTAACGAGACAAATTAAAACTAAATGACTAAAGGGAACTGCGGACAAACCTAAGGAGTCATCATACTAGTCTTGATATAAACAAATTCCTTTATGGTTAGGATAGAGCAAATTATTCATAAGGAATAAGATCTTTTATTTATAGAAAGTAGGTTTCCAGACTATCAATAAATCTTGAATGTTTGTTCTAGTCACCCTAGTTGGCATAAGCTGAAGTAGTGTGAATAGATGAATTTACCCACAGTGATATGCGTAGGCCTCAATTTTATATTGAATTTCGCTTAGCCCTGTTTTCCCAAAAGTATTCTTATCCAGGGAAGCAAGGCTATGAAACACTTTATGGAAAGGTGTGGAAAAATTTTGCCATCAATCCTTCATCATCTAATGTGACCATAACTCCTACTTAATAAAAATTTAGTGAACCTAGATCGCTTAATGTGATTTAAGGTATGTTGAATGAGATTTCTCACGATGATTAAGAGTAGACGCCAAATTGCCATTAAATTTTACGAAATCTCTCTTCACTAAAAGTTTTTTTTATCAGCGATGGACCTCAGTTTCAGCTTTAAATGGATATTATCAGCATCCCCAGTGGAAATGGAAATACGCTTGTAGACATGCTACAGATATACTGACACTCTGCCATACACATACATGTGACGATAAGACACTGGGTGGATGGGACTTTCAAGGCAAGCTGTGGCTCTCCAAAATGGTATTTAACTGGAGGCCTCTCGTTGAGGCAAACATGCATTTGTCACTTTAATTCAGTACGAGTATGTTTTGAAACTACCAGTGGTTCTAAAATAACTCATTTCATGAGAAAATAATCCTTTATACGTCATCATATCGCTTTAAACAAGCTAGAAAGTCTATGTTCTTATTTATGAATCAATGAATGTCTCTGATCATACTTCTACCTTTAGGAGCAGTTTGAGTGCATTGAATGCGTTTCTACCAGTTCGGAAGAGGGTTTGTAATGCTTCAGTGATTCGAGCCCATCCGGCCTAGTTTTCACTTTTACCCGATCTACGAACTATCGAGAAACAATAAAACGTTAACTTTAAAGAGAAATATCAGCGCAGTTATATATATGCCTTTAGTGATATCGAAATGAAGGGTTATAGAGACATTGACAAAGCAAAAATTGAGATGCAACTGCAGCCGAAGGGAGTGAGATAGAGGCAGCCAGTGTGGTGAAGCAGTGAGAAGAGGAGACCAAGAAGTGGGAGATTGGATGAGAGGGGCAATAAATTTCAGCAGAGACAAAGACCAAGCATGGCACTACGAAGAGTCACATTTTACAACAGGACATGCTTATGTCATACGCCCATGCAACCATTAATACCATTTTAGGTGTAAATGTGGGTTTCAAATGGTTTGTCTATTGTAATGGAATCGGTTATATTGACGGAATGTACCAAAAAAGTGGTAGCTTAAACAGCGAAAAATAGTGACTCTGAAATGAGCACTCGTTTAGTGAATGCTCTGCCTTTTGAATAAAAGAGGCTTCTGTCATGAGCTTCCCAACCTTGGCACCGGCAGAAGGTAAGATAGCTCAGTCTCCACTTTCAACCCTATTCGTTGGGCATACCCGAACTAATTCCAAGTTAAATGATGTCAACAGGGCTCGTGTGCCAGAGAGGCTTATAAAAGACGTTCACCAGACCCCACCGGACAATAAATTGCTCAATTCTTCTCGGGCATCTCTTGCAAGGTGTGCCATTGTGCGATCGGACGTCTAGGATTGGCCAGCATATCTGACCAATGGCGAAGTGAGGCACCGCTCGCGTTACAGCCCAACACAACGCGACCGATCGGCTCGGAGGTGCCGATCCTGTCGTAGTCGACAACTGTGATGATGAGATTGACTTTCTGAAAAAGAGAAGATAAATTATTTATTTAGAGGCTGAAATAGCAAGGCCAGATTGCAGGCATAGCTTGAGTCCCAACAAATATCGTGCTATAGCCAGGCGTGCCAGAAAATATGGGGCTGTTCAAAAGAAAGGAATTATTGGGTATAGTATTAGATCACTCCGGCTGATCATAAGAGAAATCAGATGGATTCAGTTGCCTTATACCTCGATCACCGACACTATCAAGAACTGTATACACTCAAAAATGATACCAGGTCACTGAATTTCACTTAACTTTGCCTAGTTTAGTCTGGACTGCAGTCTACACCTTGCCTGGGTTACATCAACTCTTCAAACGTGAATCAAATACGGTTAGCTCAGCTTACATTTTTGATATGCTACCACTCTGACATCAGATGGTGATAGCGACTTTTAAAGGATACTACATTTTGTAGTGGGATTGCAGATGAGGCAAACTTGTATTTTATGTATATAATCTAACAGTCTTCACTTCGCAGCAATCTTTTGTTGGTTTCCGGTGAGACTATTTCACAAATTCCTTTCAATCAACTTTTTAATCGAAACGGAAATTCGTCACAAACAACTAAATTTTGCCGTTGCATTCGACTTTGCTTCTTATGTACATGATAAGTAGGAATTGAGACAATCAGTAAATCTCATCTAGCTTGCCTTGAAGGATACGTGAGCTTGTGGCCATACTGGTAGCTGTAGAAATGTGATGTAATGGTACCATGCCAAAAATATGCACTTAATTACCCAAGTTCGATGCCCGTCGTGGGTGTTTATGAGATCAATTCGAGGTCAAAACTGCAGTCCATCTTGAGGATTA